CTGTACCGGCTTCTGAAACTCGCTCTCAGCCGATTCTTCACCGCCGCCGCGGCTCAGCCGCACTTCGATCACGACTACTACTATGGCCACCGAGACGACCGCGGGCGGCGCCTCGATCAACTTCCGGTGGCCGGCACGGAGGGCTCGGTTCCTGTACGAGGAGTGCAGTGGGCCTTCATAGGCAGTCCAATCGCCAAGAAACACGTCTACGCCGAGAGGCTCTCGAAGCTTCTAGAAGTTCCTCACATTTCCATGGCCGGTCTCGTCCGCCAAGACCTCAACCCTCGTTCTTCGCTTTACAAGCAGGTCTCCTTTCTTTGCACTCTCTCAATTTTTGCTGTCTACTATGAAAAATAGCTTCTTTAATTTCATTTTTTTTTCATTTAATTTCTAAAAAATTGAATTCTTTGGATTTAATATGTAATGTAACATGCTTTTGTTTTTTGTTTAATTGATTGGTTTGAATTGTGAAATGTGTGAATTAGATTGCGAATGCTGTGAATCGAGGGGAGCTTGTTCCGGAAGAAATCATATTCGGGTTGTTATCGAAGAGATTGGAAGATGGGTATTGCAGAGGAGAAAGTGGATTCATACTGGATGGAATTCCTCGTTCTCGGATTCAAGCCGTGAGCATTTCGCTACCGAAGATTTAGTTTTCATATGAATGACATTGTATGGATTTGTGAAATTATTAGGAAGACAAGTGTGATCATCAAATCTAAGGCCTTTTATGGTGTTAATTCTGCATAACGTTTGGACTTGTGATCTTTGTTGTCAGGAAATTCTTTCCGAACTCGTTGAGATTGATCTAGTTGTGAATTTCAAATGCACAGAGCATTGCTTGGCGGAACACGAAAGAGGTAGTATCTAATTTTGTTGCCTTGAAAGTCATGATTTGATTTGAACAACCGCTACCTTGGTACGAATTTTGAAATCCTCCACTGCTTATGCAGAGAGTGCCTGGAGGGAGAAACTTCGAATCTTTGCTGAGCAGGTAGTCCTCAAGTCTCAGTTCTCCTCGGCTAGTATACCAGTCTTAAATATTTTGTCTTTGTTTTGTAAATATTTTCTGTCCCAATAGAGAACTAGGACCGCGAAGGATCACCAATTTCCGATGCTGAGAAATTCTTGAAGTCAAAACTCAAATTTTTTTTAAGATACGTTATGTTGATGCATACAAAAATGACGACTTTGGTACAACAGAAAGTGTCAAGTTTGTGACCTTCGTTAGATTGATTCGGTTACTAATGTGGATAAGTATGTAAATGGATAGAGACAGAGAAGCAAACACAAGATGTACGTGGTTCACCCAGATTGGCTACGTCGACGGAGTAGAGGAGTTCTCATTAATTGTGAAGGGTTTACACAAGTATATAGGTTCAAGCTCTCATTTAATAAGTACTAGTGAATAATTTAGTACAAATGATATTATGAATTATTGTGGGAGAATGATCTCCTTGTATGGAAGAGAGTTTCTAGCTTTGTTCTAACATTGACACGTGTCGTGTTGTGATTGGCCTCTGATGTTGACACATGTCGTGTTGTGATTGGCCTCTGATGTTGACACGTGTTGCGCTATGATTGGCCTCCTGGTTGGAGGGAAACTCTTCTGGATCCTTAACGGTATAACATTGACCGGTGCTTGGTAGTTTCGGGATTGGTCAAGTATGGTACAAACACGTTATTTATTTTACTGGTTCCTCATGGTGAGCTACCGGAAGTTACGCTATGTGTTGCAGGGTTCTTTGTTGTTCAGTCCCCCTCCCCATAACTCTATACTACGCCACATCTATTTTTTCTAAGGAAAAAGCGGGTTCTGAGTTTTCCTTCTTTCGTTGAAGACTTGCCATGCCTCTTATTTTTTGTGCATTGTTTCCAAGTTCTTGTTTCATTCATTTTAGAGTGGTCTTTAAAGTGACAAAAAATGACGAGCCTTAAGGGTGCGTTTGGTACGTGGGACGGGACGGGACGGAACGGGACGAGGCGTTCCGTCCCGCGTTTGGTGCGCCAAAAATGGGTGGAACGGGCTGTTCCACGGGACAGATTTTGAGTGTTTTTGCGTTCCACCTCCCCCCTTGTTCCACGTTTGTGGAACGGGTTTGTTCCACGTTTGTGGAACGCAATGTTTTACCATTTTAAGACAAATATACCCCATGTCTTTTTCAAAAATTACACCTTCGTTCCGTCCCGTCCCGTCACGTCCCGTTCCGTTCCGTTCCGTCTGCGTACCAAACGCACCCTTATGTAATGCCGGGGAAATATGTTTTTAGATTAGTGTCGTATTACTGCCATAATACTTTGCTTACATGATTATTTAAAAAGTAGAAACGGAGATGACGTTTTGTTAACATTTCCTGTTTTCTGTGCACTCAGAGTAAGCCATTGGAAGATTACTACAAGAAACGGGATAAGCTTCTCGACTTTCAGGTGAGTAGTGCACCCGGGGAGACTTGGAAGGGGCTGTTGGCTACGTTACATCTACACTCCTCCCTGCTGTAGAATCTCAGCTATGAATTCTGACTCTATTGTATATAAGAACCGTGCAAATTGCCGAGGCCGACGGAACCTTCTGTACGAGTATAGCTTTGTTTGTATAGCAAGCAAACCAATCAACTTCTGTATTTTTTCTTCTTATTAGGTGAAGAATCAGTGTTCAAGAAGAAGTATGAGTGAATGGTTTTTTGTTAATAAAGCGTAAACAATTGCAAAAAGAATAAGTGTGTAAAATGGGGCTCGGCCCGTTTGATAGACAACTGGCAAGAACTTTTTATGCTTCTTTTTAGCTACATTCTGATCTCATTTTACCTTATGTAACTCAAAAATCACTTTTGAAGCTCAAATTTTATTTCATTTTGACTTATGGATTCAGTGTTCTTCTTGAAACTTAAAGGTCGTCTTCTCAAATATATGTGGGATCTACCATCCAATAATACTATGCCACATTGATGTAAATTTGATTATAAAACTCTGTTATGCGTAGATATTCAACAATCAAAGAATATTAAGTTTAAAAGAAATTGAAGAGATGAAAACAAAATTAATTAGCCTGCTGCATCGAAATCAAACCCACATAAGAAATTAACATATCTAAGGCAACGTAGAGCAAATTTTAAGATTTATAGAGATGACTTTCGAGTTTCAAGGAGCAAAATGAGATCAAAATCGAGTTCTAGAGGATCAAAATGAAGGAAATATTGAGTTTTAGAGAGTAAAGTGAAAACTTTTAAATTACAAAGAAATAAAATTAAATTAAAATCGATTTTCAAAAAATGCAGCTAAAAATAAACCAACTTTTTATCTATTACTTTTTATCTATTGAGAACCTAGGCCCACTTTTCTCAAACACTTTTGTCATAAAAAGTACCTACTTACCAAACAATCACGGATTTGGATCCTCTCCTGAGCTAATGGAGAGGATCCTCCTGACCTATCATCTTGGATCGTTGGATTTTTATCTAACGCCTACAAACAGGAAGATCCTTTTAAAGTTATAATAATTATAGTTGTTAGATAAAAATCTAACGGTCCACGATGATGAGTCAGGAGGATCCTCTCCATTAGCTCAGGAGAGGATCCAAATCCAACAATCACATCTATTTTATCTCGGAGGAAATGAAAATTTTGTCTTTGCAGATTAAAACAATGGATTTTATTTAAGGGAACTTTAACGAAAAGTTTTTGGTACTGTTCACTTTAACGAAAAACCACATTTTTACACTAAAAAATCAATCTTGGTACTATTCACTTTACCTTTTATTTTGTCCTTATCGTTAAAGCTTAAAGTTTTTAAGCCATTTTCATTAGTTTTCGTTTTTATTTAAATGTGAGATATAACAGTGGTATCATGACCAATTTCAAACCATATGATTAATTTGCTAAATGCACATCTTCAACCTTTTATTTTGTCATGTAAAATATTGGAGGCAACTAAAAAACGTGAATAGATGAATATTTTTAGAATTTTTATTGAATTTGAAAGGTAACTTAGAAGAAAGTGTCACGATTGTAGTACAAAGCCAAATCACAATCACGACGAAAATGTAATCTTGCGCAATTAGTAACTGATATGTAATCTGATATGTAACTGATATGTAATAGTAAAACCGTATAATGTAATCTTGCGCAATTAGTTTTCTTTCTATTTAGTTAGAGTTGTACAATGACTGTTATGATAAGAATACAATTACACAGGCTCTTTATGAAGAGGGATTCTCATTTTTTCTAAAAAATGGGGACTAGGTGTGGGGCCCACTCCACATCGAACTTCAACGATCCGAACTGTCTAGTTTGTAAATCTTAATTCATGGATCACCTTTGCAAAAATTCAATTCAATCCAAAATCAGAGGAGTTTCGAACTCGAGATGCATGGATGGAAAAACCCAACACTCTATCCAATATTGAACTATATGCTTTTGTTTTTGTTGCAAGGTTTTAGTGTTGATTTAAGAATACTTTAAGGGTGCGTTTGTTGTACCGGACTGTCTCGAACTGGACTAGCTGCAGGGACTAAGCTGGACTGGCTTAGACTACACTAAGCTGGACTAGCTTAGTGAAACGTTTGTTGCAGTATCGGACTAGGAAGTAGGATAATATATATATATATATATATATATTTTTTTTTTTTTTTTTTGGGAAACTAATAAAAATTCTAGTTAACATTAACCAATTGTGAATAGGGGGAAACTGGAATGTGAATAGGGGGTGGTGGAATGGCACTGCAAGGTGGTCTTAAAATGAGGAGTCCTAACACATCATGGGCACTTGTGGATACGAATTCGAGTTGGTAACAATGTGAGGATGAGTGCTTGAGAAACTGCTCTTGCTTGGCATACACAAAATTACGAGCAACCTAAAGCACATAATTTACACAAAATTATGGCACTCACTGCACGAATGCACCACCCCAAAGTACATATCATTTTCTCGGTAGACCAACTTAAAGCACATAATTTACACAAAATTACGAGTTGGCATACACAAAATGCTTGAGAAACTGCTCTTGCTTGGCAGACACAAAATTACGAGTTGGCTTAATTTACAAAATCCTGCTTCTTAGTAGATCCCCATAATTTACAAAATCTTAGTTAAAATTAGCCAAAATATTTCACAGTGCAAAGCTAAGTTAGAAGCTATAACCTAAGATTGTACGATTAACAAAATACATCCCATGTCAAAAGGATTGTACGATTAAAAAAATACACCCATGTCAAAGGGCACCACATAATAAAATCATCCACTTCCTTTGTCACTTAAAAGCATTTGGACAAACACTTTCTTGAGTTCTGATGCAAAGATACGGGTTTTCAGTGTCTTTTTCCTTTCCAGCCTAGAAACAAAACCCCTTCTGCAAAAGGCAACAAACCTCCTAGTAAATCAATAAATAACTTGAGATAATCAAAAGTTACATCACTAGTTTTAGAAGTGAAAAAGCAGGATGTTTAACTGCACAATAAAAAGTAAATTTCTCAAAGTAAAATGCAACTGTGATAGAAAATTGAACATCTATGATTTTTTTCTCTTCTTTTGCCAACTTGCCACTAAGAAATTATACTCAACTCTAAGCAAGATAATTTCAATCAGTTTGTTTTGGTTTCCAAGCTAAGTTAGAAGCTATAACCTAAGATTGTACGATTAACAAAATACATCCCATGTCAAAAGGATTGTACGATTAAAAAAATACACCCATGTCAAAGGGCACCACATAATAAAATCATCCACTTCCTTTGTCATTTAAAAGCATTTGGACAAACACTTTCTTGAGTTCTGATGCAAAGATACGGGTTTTCAGTGTCTTTTTCCTTTCCAGCCTAGAAACAAAACCCCTTCTGCAAAAGGCAACAAACCTCCTAGTAAATCAATAAATAACTTGAGATAATCAAAAGTTACATCACTAGTTTTAGAAGTGAAAAAGCAGGATGTTTAACTGCACAATAAAAAGTAAATTTCTCAAAGTAAAATGCAACTGTGATAGAAAATTGAACATCTATGATTTTTTTCTCTTCTTTTGCCAACTTGCCACTAAGAAATTATACTCAACTCTAAGCAATATAATTTCAATCAGTTTGTTTTGGTTTCCAAGCGCAGTCCCATGTGTAAAACAGCCTAACACTGCCTAACAAGGAATGAGTAAATACAAAAGCACTTGTGAGCTTCTTCTACACACCAACAGAGCTAAATAGCTCTTTTGGGCATGTGGGTAGGACGGCATTTTTCTTGGGCAATCTCACAACTGGAGCTCGTAAATGTTAAAAAAACCACAGTAGAAATGGCTACTTGAATTGTGGCTTCATTGAGTACACTTTTTCCAGGAGTTCTTGGTTTGTATCAGTCAATATATATTTATATATATATATATATATATATATATATATATATATATATATCTATTCAGGGGAAGCTATCAATTTGTTTTTCCATTGCCATTCTGAATGGCTCTCACAGTCCCTACATATATAGTTTTTTTTATTTTTTATTTCACAGACACCACAAATGCAAACCCGAATTGAAGAATCACGATCTACAAGCGTAATGGAAGAATCACGATCTACAACCCAAGTGAGAAAACAAAACCAAATCAAATAAAGATCAGCAACTGGTTCGAAGTTTATCCAGTACGAATCACGATCTACAACCCCAGTGAGAAAACAAAACCAAATGGAAGAATCTCAAACACTAATAGACAGCAACTAATTCCAAACTGTCCAATCTCAATCTGCAATTTGACCCTAAAAATCAAAACCCTAATTTGTTCAAGTGCAGAGGTCTATTATTGAAAATTTCTCAAACCCAAAACAACTAAATCAAATAAAGATCATAAATATCACGATCTGCAAAATAAATCGAAGAAATAAATCTAAGATTCAAAGTTTACCAGGCAAGAGGAGCAGATGAGGGCGAGCAGGATGCAGGCAAGCAGGACTCAGAGATGGGGGTGAGGTGGACGAGGATGAGGGAGCAGGGCAAGCAGGAGCGATGTGTGACGACTCAGGATGCGCAAGGTTCTCTCTCGTGAAGGTCTTACGAGTCCGGCCGAGTTTGGGGTACTTCGCTAAGAACTCCTAGCGAAGCCATTAATCCGAGCGAGTCCCCCCTAATCCCATTAAACCTAATCCTTGTGCAAACCAAACATGAGACTACACTAGCAATTAGTCTAGTCTAGTCCAGTCCCTCCTAATCCGGTCAAACAAACACCCCCTAAACGTTGGATTAGTACTGCAAAAACTGCTTTAACTACTTCTAGTTCGAAGCCGAAAATCTTGTCCTTGAGATTTCAAAACATCAACATAATAACATATTAACCATGAAATTAAGCACGCATGTGATCTATTATCCTAGAAAAGTTACCATTTTATCAGTTTGTTAATTGTTTTTTGTTGTTAACCAAGAAATAAATAAATAAATAATACAGTTTAATTCTTGTTCAATTAGTTGGTTTTTTGTCCATGGCTAAACAAGAAGAGGTCCTATATGTTCTTGTGTAAGGTGGGTTAAGTTTAATTAATCTGATAAAAAAGAGTGATTAAGGATTAAAATTAGGGTTTTTGATTTGATTAATCTGATATATTATTGCACATCCTATGTTTTTTGTCTTCAAATAATTCTTCATAAATCTATGTCGAAGCACAAATTTTCCATCACGAAAACAAATCTTCAGTATGTTTTTCATTACTTTTAAAAAATCTTGTACTAGGCAACTGAAACATGAAAATTTAGGGTTGAAAATTTGACATAGTCATTACTTTAAGTGCAAGAAAAAAAGGGACTAAACTTCAGTGGATTTATTGATCAACCGTTGCAATTTCTGCGGAAAATGCATCAAACCTGAAGAACTTGATGTCAAGAGGTCCGACCTTTCTAGTGAGTTCGTGTTGGGAGTCACTACTGCTGCTGCACAAATGGAAGGTGTAAGTTAATTGTGGAACGGAAAAAACTTATTCACAATTATCAATTTAACCACTTACATGTGGAAGACATACTAGTCTCAGAAAACTAGGACTAAGAACTAAGAACTGATATTCTTTTAAGGCTTGCTCAATGGGGCTTGAGTTTTTTTGTAAACTAGCGTATTTAGTGAGAGAGCAGGGACCTCAGATTTATACGGAATACAATGGATTTCAATAAGGATCCCTCCCATTAAGTGATCCTTATCTTTATCACCGTGAAACACTTATGCATTATATCAGCTAGAAGAATTCTAGTTTTACTGAGAATGTATCTAACTTGAAGTTTTAAGAAATACAACTCTTGATAAGTCTACCACAAATGTCAATCCTAATCTCCATATCATTCCGAATGTCTTTGATCAAATCACCAAGTGTATGCTCTCATATAGAACTTACAGAGAGATCTACAAAAGAAGCAGGAAGAGGACCAAGTGTTTGGGACTACTACGCTTAGAAATTCCCAGGTTTATATATATACCAGTTGTTAAGACATATTATAATGAATAAATGGAATGAGAAACTCGGGTCTAGTAGAGCTATATGCGTTTAGAGCTGTGGCTTGCATACAACTGGTATCCAATGAGCATAAGATCATATCTTCTACAGACATGACTCCACTTTAGAGGAAATCACATATAATCGAATTTTGCTTACCAAAGTGGTCTTACTAAAAGTAAATAAGCAACATGTTCGATCCGTTCCATTGGACTGGCTGCTTTCTTGATCTCGCTTTACCTTTTTTAGTTTTTGTTAGCAATCCCACATCGGTGGGGAAAGTCAACAATGGTGGCTTTAAATATGATTACCTACTCTAAGTAATACTAAGGTTTTTTGTGGTAAAACCCCACACTTGACGGATTGGGCATGTAGTAAAGTTGAGGACAATATCGGTGTCGTTAGAGTGGGCCCCCCAGCCCGTCGATCTAAAAAATTTCAACAGTTTCATATGCTCATTCTGTTTTGTTTATTATTGTTTTGTTTACATTCAGAACGGATTGCAGACCACACGAACATGTTTACAGCCATCAATTCATAAAAAGCGATACAAAGTGATAATTAAGTTTCACTCGTTTTCGGCATAAGATTTAACCAAAAATATTTGTAATTATAGGATGAGGTGAAGGTTCTAAGGAGCTAGGAGTTGATTGTCACAAATTTTCCCTCTCTTGACCCGGATTCTCCTAATAAGTAATCATAATTTTACCTAGATTTATTGTCCGCTAATAAGCAGTTTCATGGAAGCTGCATGTTTATGTTTAATCTTTGCTAAAATTTTCGCCCTATTCGAAATTTACAATATTTAGACAGTACCTTAAGTGATGGAGTAAACTAACAAGGTATCGATCACTACAACAACTTCATCGACGAACTAATAAAAAATGGTAAACAATCTATTCAAAAAATTCCATTACACTACGACATTATCTTGTTATATTATTATAGCTAAGTTTGTTGAATCTGTATATCCAGAATTCTGTAGGTTTCTTTGAAATCTCATGAGAATTTCGGTTGAATTTTGTTTACATTTGTACTAATTTGTACCACATCGACCACCGCAATATAAACACAGTGCTTTATATACGAAGTTACTTGTGCACTGTTCGCCGAGCTAAGTGACTCTTGCTTGTAACCCAAGTGGGGGCACCAAGGTGGTGGGACATCGGTTCGATCCATTTGGCAGGACTTGATGTTGCAATTTGCTGGCTCGCCCGTTCCAAGTTGAGAGTTGGGCCCTGTGGTTCGGGCTTAAGCTTGGGCCGTGGCCCTTAGAGCGGAGGGCAATGCGTGAGGCTGGTTTCACAGAGCAGCGAAAACCTCCCGCTCTCAACAGTGGAAGGATGACGTGTCGGTGCACCGCTAGCCCAGATTGTCTCATGGGTTGAAACCAGTTGAACCACCACCTTTTTGCGAAACAAACATTGTGTGACAAATTGCGTGCAATTTTCGAAGCCGAAAATCTTGTCCTCGATATTTCAGAACATCATCATAATAACAAATTAACCATGAAATTAAGCACGTATGCGATCTAATATCATAGAAAAGTTACCATTTTATCAGTTTGCTAATTGTTTTTTGTTGTTAACCAATAAATAAATAAATAATACTGTTTAATTCTTGTTTAATTAGTTGGTTTTTTGTCCATGGCTAAACAAGAAGAGGTCCTATATGTTCATGTGTAAGATGGGTTAAGTTTAATTAATCTGATAAAAAAGAGTGATTAAGGATTAAAATTAGGGTTTTGTTTAGGATTAATTTGATATATTCTTGCACATCCTATGTTTTTTGTCTTCAAATAATTCTTCGTAAATATATGTTGAAGCACAAATTTTCCATCGCGAAAACAAATCATTAGTATATTTTTCATTACATGTAGAAGACACAGTCTCAGAAAACTAGGACAAAGAACTGAAGTTCTTCTGCAACTCTACACAACTGAAAGTAAGGCTCGCTCAATGGAGCTCGAGTGTTTTTTGTAAACTTGCGTATTTAGTGAGAGAGTAGGGACCTCAGATTTATACAGTATACAATGGATTTCAATAAGGATCCCTCCCATTAAGTGATCCTTATCTTTATCATCGTGAAACACTTATGCGTTATATCAGTTAGAAGAATTCTATTTTTACTGAGAATATATCTAACTTGAAACTTTAAGAAATACAACTCCTGATAAGTCTACCACAAGTGGCAATCGTAATCTCCATATCTTTCCGAATGTCTTTGATCAAATAACCAAGTGTATGCTCTCGTATATAACTTACAGAGAGATCTGCAAAAGAAGCAGGAAGAGGACCAAGTGTTTGGGACTACTATGCTTAGAAATTCCCAGGTTTATATATATACCAGCTGTTAAGACATATTATAATGCATGCATGGAATGAGAAACTCGGGTCTAGTAGAGCTATATGCGTTCAGAGTTGTGGCTTGCATACAACCGGTATCCAATGAGCATAAGATCATATCTTCTACAAACATGACTCCACTTTAGAGGAAATAACATATAATCGAATTTTTTTGCTTACCAAAGTGTTCTTACTAAAAGTAAATAAGCAACATGTTCGATCCGTTCCATAGGACTGGCTGCTTTCTTTATCTCGCTTTTCCTTTCTTAGTTTCTGTTTACATCGGTGGGAATAGTCAACAAGGGTGGTTTTAAATATAATTACCCTACTCTAACTACTACCGAGGGCCTTTGTGGTAAAACCCTACACCTAATGGATTTGGCATATAGTAAAGTTGGGGACAATATCGGTGTCGTTAGAGTGGGACCCCCTGGCCCGTCAATCTAAAAAATTTCAACAGTTTCATATGCTCATTTTGTTTTGTTTACATCCAGGACGGATTGCAGACCACACTAACATGTTTAAAGCCATTGATTCATACAAAGCGATACAAGGTGATACTTAAGTTTCTCTCGTCTTCGGCATAAGATTTAACCAAAAATATTTGTAATTATAGGATGAAGTGAAGGCTCTAAGGAGCTTGGAGTTGATTCTCACAGATTTTCCCTCTCTTGACCTGGATTCTCCTAATAAGTAATCATAATTTTACCTAGATTTATTGTCTGCTAATAAGCAGTTTCATGGAAGCTGCATGTTTATGTTTAATCTCTACTAAAATTTTCACTTTGTTCGAAATTTACAATGTTTAGACGGAACCTTGAATGGTAGAGTAAACTAACAGAACATCGATCACTACGACAACTTCATCGACGAACTAATAAAAAATTGTATACAATCTGTTCAAAAAATTCCATTACACTACAACATTATCTTTGTTATATTATTATAGATAAGTTTGTTGAATCTGTATATCCAGAATTCCGCAGGTTTCTTTGAAATCTCATGAGAATTTCAGTTGGAATTTTGTTTACATTTGTACTAATTTGTACCTCATCGACCACCGCAATATAAACACAGTGCTTTATATACGAAGTTACTTGTGCACTGTTCGCCGAGCTATGTCACTCTAGCTTGTAACCCAAGTGGGGGCGCCAAGGTGGTGGGACATCGGTTCGACCCATTTGGTAGGACTAGTCGTTGCAATTTGCTGGCTCGCCCGTTCCAAGTTGAGAGTTGGGCCCTGTGGTTCGGGCTTAAGCTTGGGCCACGTGGCCCTTAGAGCGGAGGGCAATGCGTGAGGCTGGTTTCACAGAGCAGCGTAAACGTCCCGCTCTCAACAGTGGAAGGATAACGTGTCGGTGCACCGCTAGCCCAGATTGTCTAATGGGTTGAAACCAGTTGAACCACCACCTTTTTTCACGTTCTTTTCGTATTTCGTCGACCTTTTCTTTTTTTATAAAATTTCTATGCACAAACTGCTTGCTGTACACACCATATTTTCCTAGCTCATGCTTAACACATTAGGGACGAACTCTAAGAGGTCGATTATTCGAGAACATCAACATAATAACAGATTAACCATGAAATTAGGGACGGATTGCAGACCACACGAACATCAGTTGGAATTAATATGTACTAGAAGTCCAGAACCCTAAATACCAAACTCCTAATATAGCCTGCGCTTAATATCTAGACAAGGTTATCATTTTCTCAGTTAATTGTTTCCAATCGTTGGCCAAAAAATAAATAAAGAAAATACTGTTTAATTCTTGTTAAATTGTTTATTGTTCAAGGCTATACAAGAAGAGGTCCTATATATTCTCGTGAACGATGGGTTAAGTTTACTTAATGTGATAATAAAGGGTGATTAAGGATTAAGACTAGGATTTTTGTCTGGAGGTCATGGAGTTCTTACCATCATGGTTAAGGATTGTACAAGGGATGTGGGCTATTGCTTTTATTAGTGCCTCTTTGTCACAAGGTTTGCAGTTTGTAATTATAAAATTAACTTAGATAAACATCTGAAATCTTAAAATTGTTCTTGATAATTATTTTTTGCTTTGTTTGCTCACCATATTGCATCAACAACTAAGACAAAAATTACAGGTGTGGAACAGTTCTTCACATAGAAATATGTTGAAGCACTGACTTTCCTATCGAGAAAACACGCCTTCGGTTTTTTTTTTGGTTATTTTCAAGCTGCATGCATTAGGCAACTCAAACATGAAAAAGGTAACTAAATTTAAGTGCATATGTTGATGCAGCTGATGTGAATGCTGAGAGCGAGTTTCAGCCATTGCGAAATGCATCAAACCCTGAAGAACTAAAAGTGAAGAGGTCCGACTTCCCTAGTGATTTCGTGTTCGGAGTCACCACTGCTGCTGCACAAATGGAAGGATCTGCAAAAGAAGCAGGAAGAGGACCAAGTGTTTGGGACTACTACATTGAGAAATTCCCAGGTTTATATATACACACACACATTATATATATCAGCTGCCATAAGATCATATTATAATGCATGCATTTCTTTTCTTAGTTTAATATGCTCGTTCTGTTTTGTTTATGATTTTTTTGTTTGCGATCAGGACGGATTGCAGACCACACGAACATGTTTACAGCCATTGATTCATACAAGCGATACAAGGTGCATATCGAGCTAGCGAAAACCAAGTTTCTCTAGTCTTTGGGATAAATATTTAACCAAATATTGTAATTGTAGGAAGAAGTGAAGAATCTCAAGGACCTTGGAGTTGATTCTCACAGATTTTCCATCTCTTGGACCAGGATTCTTCCTAGTAATCAATTTTACCGAGTTCTTTTTTTTAACGCTAATTTTGTAAATTAAAATTGAGGGTTTTATGATTAATCTCTACTAAACTCTTGCTCTATATATGTTTGAAATTCTCAATGTGTAGAGGGAACCTTGAGTGGTGGAGTAAACCAAGAGGGTATCAATCACTACAACAACTTCATCGACGAACTAATCAAGAATGGTAAGAATCTCTGTTCAAGCAAAACCTTTATATTACGACATTAATTAATCTTGTTATATATTATACATAGGATCCTTTTATATCAATATCGTTGAATGAAAAAAAACTCCACTTCAGTCGATTCGGACCTCCACTTAGTTTCACCCAAGCTTTGTTGAGCTTGTATACCAGAAGGATCCCATAGATTTCTGTAATCTCATGAAGTTCGACTCTAACATCACATGACGGGGTTAACTATCACATCAAAGCTGTTCTAATATTTCACTTTAATGTAGACATCACACCATTTGTGACCATATTGCACTTTGATCCACCACAAGCTTTGACAGACAAGTATGGCGGCATCCTCAATCGCTCCTTCGTGTAAGCACCTTCTAAATTACATCCATTTCATTTCTCATAGTTTAGGATAATATAAAATTTAGTCATTGACATAAATTCTGATATTTCTTCATCACGTTTTGCAGGAAAGATTTCAAGGATTACAGTGAACTTTGTTTTAAACTTTTTGGAGATAGGGTGAAAAATTGGTTTACAATCAACGAGCCGTGGATCATGGCGAAAATGGGGTACGACAAAGGCGTTGGTCCGCCGGGCAGGTGTTCTGTTCAAACTGTATTTCCATGCACAAATGGTGGTAATTCAGCCACGGAACCTTACATTGTGGCACACCACCTTCTCCTTGCCCATGCTTCAGTCGTTGAGCTTTACCGGAAGAAATTTCAGGTGAAATGCTCACACTGAATCTGTTGAAATGAATGAAGCCTTGTCTTTTGATTATCTCAAATTAATGAGATAAATGTTCTTTCTTGGTTGATATTGGTTTTTAGGATAAACAAGGCGGACAAATTGGAATTAGTCTTGTAGGACAATATGTCATGCCTTATTCGAATTCGGCAGAAGACAAAGCTGCAGCAGAAAGAATATTAGACTTTGAACTTGGATGGTTAGTAGATATATCTACATTGGTCCTAAATATACTTGCTCGATTGGTATAAGAAGTCTTCTAGTTGTAAATTTTCCTAAAACAATATGATGTTCTTGTTTAGGTTCATGGAACCATTAGTATATGGATCATATCCAGAGAGTATGAGACCTTTGGTCAAGGACAGGCTACCACATTTCACCAAGGAGGAGGAGAAGATGATCAATGGATCCTTAGGTTTTGTCGGCATCAACTATTACTCCACAAGATATGGTAGAAACGTCCCAGCAAAACCACAAGGACCAATCTCTTATAGCGACGATATTTTAGCTTTGGCGTTGATCACAAGTAAATTTCATAATATCTCAATGTTGCTTCTTTTGTGTTTGCACGCATGTGTTATTGTGCCATGGAAGGTTAAATTGATAGGACTTACACGGTTTTTTCATGTTGTGATTGTTGTAGATGAAAACGGAACCCAAATTGGTCCTAAGGTATACAAAAGAGCATGGACCCATGCACAAGGATGATACGCATATATAATTTTGCACTATGTAGTTTCCATCTTTCTATATATAGCAAAACTAAATTCTTTCATCCGTGTAGGCGGGAGGAAGTCGGTTCGTCTACAGTTACCCACAAGGCCTGGAACAACTTCTAAAGTTTATGAAGAAGAAGTACCAGGACCCTAAAATCTACATTTCTGAACATGGAATAACCGAGGCAAAGGACGATAAACTAAGACTTAGTGATGCACTTAAGGATCCACATAGAATTGAATCCATTCTTCGCCATTTGTACCGGATCAAGAAGGCAATAGAGTAAGTCACTGCAATCTATGTTAACAAGTTTGAGGATGCATACATGCATTTACTTATGTTGTTTCTGTCCTTGTTTTGGAAGGAGTGGTGTGAATGTCAAAGGATATTTCCACTACACTTTATCTGATAATTTTGAATGGGGAGAAGGCTATATCCCAAGATTCGGGCTTTACTACGTCGACTACAAAGACAATCTCAAGCGCATTCCTAAAGAGTCTGCTAAGTGGCTCCCTAAGTTCCTAAAGGGCGAGGCTTGATGTACTCAAGTTCGATATAAACTCCAGATGGTTGTCAAGCTCATCTACTTTCTTGCACACAAATGCAGAAAACTGTAAAGAAAGAGTGGTAGAATATGTACTATATATGCCTTGAATGTTCAGTTTTATAGGCTTGGTATTTCTGTGGGAATGCCCTGTACTTTTAATACTGGCATAGGTTTGTAATATACTTGTTATATTGCGAGCAAAACAATATTACATCAACTTCTTTGATGGTCCAATATCCTAGTGGATAGGGTGTTGGGTTTCACCCATGCATCTCGAGTTTGAAACTCCTCATTCCCCTAAATTAGTGGAATAGTTTTGAACTTTCCCTTCTCCTTAATAATAATAATAATAATAATTGAAAAAGAGAGGAGAGTTTAAGGGTTTCTTACACTCAATGAAACATGTGAAGCAATTGTATCTGCCATTGCAAGGAGGCAGGAGTTTCTTATACTATTTTCCCTTATTCCTGCTATAAATAATTGGGTGCATGGGAAGGGGGATTAAATTTTCAATAGCAAAAACATGTCTTCAGTTTGTTTTTCATTATTTTCAAAAAGAGCCTGTACTAGGCAACTGAAACATGAAAATTTAAGGGTGAAAAAATTGACATAGTCATTACTTTAAGTGCAAGAAAAAAAAGTGACTAAGTTTAAGGGGACGTGTTGATCAATCGTTGCAGTTTCTGCGCAAAATGCATCAAACCCTCAAGAACTCAATGTCAAGAGGTCCAACTTTCCTAATGATTTCCTGTTCGGAGTCACTACTGCTGCTGCACAAATAAGGATTTGCAAAAGAAGCAGAAAGAGGCCCAAGTGTTTGGTACTGTTGCGTTGAGAAATTCCCAGGTTTATATATCAGATGTTTGGGACCAAGTGTTTTGTTTATGATTCTTTTGCAGACCACACGAACATGTTTACAGCCATCGATTCATACAAGCAGTAGAAGGTGCATATCGAGCAAGCAATAATTAAGTTTCTCTCGTCTTTGGCCTAAATATATAACCAAATATTTGTAACTGTAGGCAGAAGTGAAGGCTCTCAAGGACCTTGGAGTTGATTCTCACAAATTTTCCATCTCTTGGAACCGGATTCTTCCTAGTAAGTAGTTATAATTTTACCTAGTTCTATTGTTCCGCTAATATGCGGTTTCGTGGGAGCTACATCTTTGAATTAAAATTTATGGTTTATTGGTTAATCTTGCTAAACTTGTCCCACATCGACCATCGCAAAATATTTACAGCGCTTTATATGCCTAGTTACATGTTCACTGTTCGCTGAGCTAAGTCATGCTAGCTTGTGACCCAAATGGGGGCACCAAGGTGGTGGGACATCGGTTCGACCCATTCGGCAGGACTAGACGTTGCAATTTGCTGGCTCGCCCATTCCAAGTTGTGAGTTGGACCCTGTGGTTCGGGCTTAAGCTTGGGCCACGAGGCCCTTAGAGCGGAGGGCAATGCGTGAGGCTGGTTTCACAGAGCAGCGAAAACCTCCCGCTCTCAATGGTGGAAGGATTACGGGCCGGTGCTCCGCTAGCCTAGATTGTCTCATGGTTTGAGACCAGTTGAACCACCACTTTTTTTCCACATATAACCTTTTTTTTTGTTACCACAAATTTGACAAGTAGATTTCCCGAAATAATGGAAAACTTCGATTCAAGTAGTTTATGTTCTTGGGATACAAGTTGTGGTATTGTCCCTGTTAGTTCTCATATCGAAATAATAGAAATCTTTTATTCAAGCAATTTATGTACCTGCATTACAAATTTGACCATAATAATTTCTCTATTGGATTATATGGGAAATACGGGAAAACTTCTATTCAAGCAATTTATATATGTACTTGCGGGCGATTTTCCCTATCATGCTCCAGTCACGACATTTGTACATTTAGATACTATTACCATACTATCAAGAGGATTAGCTGCCAAGAGTATCTATCCAGCAATAGATCCTTTAGATCACCATCAACTATGCTCCAACCTCGGATCTCCAATGAAGAATACTTGGTTTTTTCTTCTTGTTTTCATCACATAGCAGGTTGACTGTTACGCTAAAGAGTTTCTCAAATTTCAAGATTTATATTTTATAGTACTAATAACTAAGCTGCATGTTATTTACATGGTGGAAGTTTAACATCACACGACGGATTGATTGTTACACTGAAGAGTTTCTCATATTTCACCGTATGAACTCCAGATGGTTGACGTACCCAAGTTTCGATATGAACTCCAGATGGTTGATCAAGCTCATCTTCTTCCTTGCACACAATTGCCTATATGTGTTGAGTGGGAGAAAACTGTAAAGAAGAGTGTTACAATAGGTACTATATATGCCTTGAATGTTCAGTTTCATTGGCTTGGTGTTTCTGTGGGGATGCCATGTACTTTTAAAGCTTGTTTGGTATTGTTGTGCTTTTAAAAAAAAACTGATTATGATGTGCTGTAAAAATAATCAGCTGTAAAATAAAACAGTTAAGTTTTTGGTAAACTTTTACTGAAAAAAATGCTTTTAACAACAAAAAAAAAAAAAAAAAAAAAAACCATGTTCAAGTGTTTGGTAAACTTTATGTAAAACTACTATGGTCATGTTAAATGACTAAAAGACTATAATATTAAATGTGATATAATAATTTATTTTATTTTTTATTTATAATTTCATCTTCAATCTTCATCATTTTCTGATCACAGTCCAGTTATTGTTCAGTGCGAACCACGTACTGGGAAGAGGAAGAGGATTTTCCGCTTTGAAGCTCACTGGGCAAAGGATACAGATTGCAAAGAAATTGTGAAAAAAGCTTGGGACAAATTCCGAGAAGGTAACTCTGTGGAGAGGTGGAATCTAAAAATCAATGAGGCTCGCTCTAATCTTTCCAAGTGGAGTAGGGATAAGTTTAGACAGAGATCGTGGCAAATTCAGGAGTTGATGTACCACCTGGGACGACTCCAACTAAATTGGAGATGCAACTCCCATGAGATAGAAGAGCTTACAAAGAAGGTTGATCGTTTATGGAGTCAGGAGGAGAGCGTTTGGCAACAAAAATCAAGGGTGCAATGGCTTAAGGAAGGAGATGCGAATACTAAGTTCTTCCATCAATCTACCCTACAAAGAAGAAGGCGAAATCAAGTAATATCGCTTAAAAATGGGAATGGGAACTTGGTGGATAATCCAGGGCAGATCCAACGCTTAATTGATGATCATTTTGTGGAATTATTCACTTCTTCGGGCAACAGGGAGTGGGGTGACATGCTCGACTGCGTTACCTCGAAGGTTTCGGAGGAGATGAATGTTTCGTTAATGGCTACGGTCTCTGTGGAGGAGATTTAAACTGCTGCCATGAAAATGGGAGGACTTAAAGCTCCGGGTCCTGACGGATTCCAAGGGATATTCTATCAATCACAGTGGGACATAATAGCTTTTGATGTTAATAATATGATTGTTGATTTGATGAACGGGTCTTTGCAGCCTTTGCGAATAAATGCTACTCATCTGGCTTTAATTCCAAAGGTTCAAAATCCGGAGTCTGTGTCTCAATTTCGACCCATAAGTCTTTGCAACTACTCCTACAAGATTCTCTCCAAGGTCTTAGCCAACCGATTAAAAAGACTGTTGCCGGTGTTGATCTCCGCAACCCAAAATGCGTTTGTGGAAGGAAGACAGATTCAAGATAATGTCGGTATTGCGCATGAGCTTTTCCATTTTCTAAAAAATAGAAAGACAAAATGCAACTTTGAGCTGGGAATTAAATTGGATATGCATAAGGCATATGATCGTGTGGAGTGGGATTTTTTAATGGCAGTTATGGAGAAGATGGGTTTTAATAGTCGATGGAGGAGTCTGATTATGGGATGCATTTCTACAGTGAATTTTTCCATTCTTCTGAACGGACAGCCAGGTTCCAAATTCACTCCCTCAAGGGGGCTTAGACAGGGGGATCCTTTATCCCCTTATTTATTCTTGCTGGTCAGTGAAGTGTTATCACTCCTTATTCAATGGGAGAGTGATAGGGGCGAATTGAGGGGATTCAAATGGACCGTGTCGGTCCCATGATATCTCACATTTTCTTTGCTGATGATACTTTGATCTTTCTCAAGGCGGAGGCGAGGAATTGTAGAAATTTAGTCCAGGTTATAGACGAGTATTGCTCGGCCTCGGGTCAACAGGTAAATAAATCCAAATCCAGTGTGTTCTTTGGGGGGAATATGCCGGAACCTTTATCTATCCATCTGGCTACCATTCTTGGGATGGAGAAAGTAGGGGACCCGGGAGTTTATCTGGAAGTGCCGGCCATCTGGGGTAGATAAAAAAGAAGTGGCCTTGCGTATGTAAAGGGAAGGCTAGGAAAAATTCAAGGTTGGAAACGCTCCACTCTCTCACAAGCGGGGCAGGAAGTTTTAATTAAGGCAGTGGCGCAAGCAGTTCCGACATATCCTATGAATCTCTTCAAGTTTCCTAAGATTTTTTGCAATGATCTGGATGCTTTGATATCCAAGTTTTGGTGGGGGCAAAAAGAATGGGAGAACTGGATTCACTGGGTTTCTAAGGAACAAATGGGGAAATCAAAGAAGAAGGTGGGCTAGGCTTGAGGTGCTTTACGGAGTTCAACGACGCTCTTTTGGCGAAACAGTGTTGGAGGTTGTTATTGGAACCAAACTCTTTGTGGGCGTCGGTCATTAAAGGCCGATACTTCCCCAATTGTTCTTTTTTTCGACGCTAAGAGGGGTGGAAGAGCTTCATGGGCATGGTCAAGCCTCCTTGTTGGTAGAGAAATACTTCGGGGTGGTGCTCACTGGCAGATAATGAATGGAAATGATGTCAGGGTTTGGGTGGATAGATGGCTGCCATCTATCCTATCAGGACACCCATCTCCATTGGGTTCGGTTCCTGTCTCTTTAAACCTTAGGGTGAATTCTTTGTTAGGCACTGAAAATGGAAGCTGGGAGATTGATTTCCTTAAACCCTTTCTGATGGAGGAGGAGCTCAAGGCGATTTACGAGACACATTCGGGTGACCCGCTATTGAAAGACAGATTAGTGTGGCCTTTTGTGAAGAATGGAATCTATTCTGTCAAATCCGGATACCATTGGGCTATGACCAGGACTCGACAACAACCAATTGGAAACCCTCACAGATCTGCCCTCTTCCCAAAGCAGGTTTGGGAGTGTGTTTGGAAGCTTGAGGTTCAGCCAAAAATAAGATCCTTTATGTGGAAGACCTTACAAGAGGCAGTGGCCACGAAAGTAAATTTGTTTATGCGTCAATCCTCTTCTTCAACAATCTGCCCTATTTGCAATAGGTATGAGGAATCATTGGTACATCTTTTTCTCCAATGTTCGTGGGTAGAGGAGGTATGGCTTGGGGGAAGGTTAACTAGAGGCTTGCGGAGGGGAGCGGTCACAACTTGGGCTAATTGGTTGGGTGATATTGTTGGTTTGGTAAATGGGCAGACAAGTGTGAGGAACAACATGCTTTCATATGTTGCTACCACATGTTGGTATATATGGAAGGCAAGATGCAACTTTCTCTTCAATCAACAACCTATCTTTCCTCGGCAGATCATTGCAGTTATCACCCATTCTGTGGCTGCCTTCAAGGAATCTTCTCAGGCTACGGTAATTAGTTTGCCAATTTCTGTCAATGGATCGGCTTCTGATGTCCATTGGTCTTCACCTTGTGTGGGTTTTATCAAAATTAATGTGGATGCAAGCTGGTTAAGGAGTGGGGCTTCGGGTTTTGTGGGTGTTGTGGCTCGAGACGATGCGGGCAGGTTTGTGGCAGCGAACAGGATGAGGGTCACGGCCTTTTCTGTGGCAGTGGAAGAAGCTTTGGCAGTGCTGCATGGGTGTGAGTTTGGAAGAAACATGGGATGGAATTTTGTCATCGTGGAATCTGACTTTCAGGAATCCATATCCTGTATTCGAGACTTGGATACGATGGGCAGTTGGGAAGCTTTCCCAATTTTAGCGCGATGCAAAAGATTGGGGGAGTCTTTTAATGACTGCCGCTGGTCTTGGATTCCAAGATCGGCCAATATGGCTGCGGATCTTCTGGCGTTGCGGCAAAGTAGGGAGGTATGTGATAATATTTGGGTCAACAGACCCCCATCCTCCCTTGTTCATGTTCTGTGTAATGATGGTCTCCCTTGTCCCCATTAATTTCTTCCTGGCAGTATGAGGAGTGACATTTTTAGCATTTGGTGCGATGTCGTCTTTACCTCTTTGTACTGCTTTTCCTTAGTTGTTGCTGCTTGCTTTTGCCTCGAGGTAGGCTTCTTTGTATCTTTGGCATCTTTGCCCGGTTGTTAGTTATTCCAGTTCGCCAAAAAAAAAATCCCTCCCTCCAACCCTCTGTTCTCTCCCCTTCCCAATCACCAAAATCGCCGACCCTCGAGAGAAAGAGAGAGCAAGAAATTCCGAGCTTCCGAATCTCTCCAGCTCTATGATCGGATTCCAATCAGCCAATCCGTCCAATCAATTTTGAAAAAACCCAGAAGAAAAAAAAAAGAAAAAAAAGGGAAAATCGAAGCTTTTGAGTTTCAGTTCAAAGTATATAGCCACAGAGAGATTCAAATCCGTAGCTAATGGATGTAGACGGAGGGGGAAGCAAATGGGTTTTCCACAGACTAGGTAGGCAGCAATCCAACCCGTTAAAGAACCAGAAGGTACCATTGGAGGGCAGGCAAGTGCAATCGCCACCCTTACCCTTTTCTCCATAGAGAGCTCCTGACGCCGCTATCGCAGCAAGGTCTCAATGGGACGGCCTCGACTAAACGCCGCCTTCGCCGCTAACACTGACGGTCCATCGTCCCAGAATCGGGGTCCAAATAACTTCAATGGAGGGGCTTCTTCGACATGGGGCACCAGAGAAGAAATTGTTGTTCGAATTAGCGTGCTCCGGGCTCGAGACGATGAATTCTACCTGGGTTTTCATGAGCTGTCTCTCTGTGTCAGTGAATGGAGCTCTCTAAATTCGACCGTGTCAATGAAATTGAGCTCTCTGAATTCGACCTTGGTGCTTTTTGAATTCAACCTTGGTAATCAACAATCGACTTCGATGAGGGACCTCGTCCTCTAGAACAATCGGATTCGATGATTTGATACAATGAGGGAAGCGAGAAGGAGAAAGAGGGTATAATTGGGTTTAAGAAAGTTTCATTAAACTTTACTGTTCATCCGCCTACTTTGAAAAATAAGCTGGCTTTGAGAAGCAACAAAATGCTGCTTTCATTTTTCTGCTTATTTTGGCCGGAACTTTGAAAAAAAACACTTATTTTTACATTTACCAAACACATTTTGCACCCCAACTTTTTTTCATAGCTGCTTTTTTTATAATTTCAGTTGTGCCAAACTGGTACTTAATGTTGTCTGATAGACTACTGGCATAGGTTTGTAATATACTATTGTTATATTGCAAGCAAAACTAATTTGTAAGCAATGTCCATCTGCTAGAAACCTTTGCTGATTTTTTGGATGCTAGACCCACTTTTCATGGATGTTGAATTCCAAGATATAATGTATTATATGGGGTTCAAAAACTTAAAACTTTTTCTCTCGTTTTTGAAAACTTATAACTTTTTCTCTCATTTTTCTCTCTTCTGAAAATAAAAAAGAAAAAAAACTTCTTTAAACTCGCATCAAATGCATGACATGTGTCTTTCCCCTCGTACTGGTTAGCGGTGAGCATTAAACCGACCAAACCGACCGATCCGAATCATATTTGATCAGTTTGGTTTGATTTGATTTTGAGCAAGAAAAAAGCCAATCAATTAAAAAAATGAACCGAACCGATTTACTTTTGAAACCGACCAAAACCAAAATGAACCGATTATGTATCTTTTAATTATTTATCTATTTATTTTACACATGTCAACTTATTATAGGTTACTTAGAGGCCTTACTATACACATATTATAAGTTGTAATGATAATCTACACTTACGAGATTTATACGTATTTTATGCTTATGTGAGGTAATTAATAAATCGTTTCCTAGCATGAGATTTTATTTAATTGAAACGCATTTCTATTTTGCTTGATCAATTTTTTTATGTTCAGAAAAACTTAACCCTTCAATCGAATTAGAATGTCAGACATGTGTAAATATTTAGAAGATTAAAACTCTTGAAATGTTGAGCAATTTTTACCGAACCAAATTGCATCAAACCGATGAACAATGGTTTGGTTTTGTTAACAATAGAATATTAGTTGGTTCGGTCATATATTTGGTGTCAAACCGAATAAAACCGATCAGCGCCCACCCTACTAGGCTAGTACTGATTTATTAAACCAGAAAGCATAAATGGTGTTTTTCATTCTTCTGCTATACTAATTTATTCATGTAAAAAAATTGTGATCGAAAGAGACCAAAATACAATGAAGTAATATATAATAAATCATAGCGCATAAGTTTGTTTTTATTCGTCTGATTAGGTTGGTTAAAAATGAAAAATAAAAAGTAAAACTGAAAATTAAGATCACCGTTCAAACGTTGGATTTTTAGTACTGCAAAAACTGTTTTAGCTACTTTTGCTTAGAAGCCAAAAATCTTATCCTCAAGATTCGAAAACATCAACATAATAACAGATTAACCATGAAATTAAGCATGTTTAGTTGGAATTAATATGTACCTCAAGTCTTGAACCCTGAATACCAAACTCCTAATATAGCAGCCTGCGCTTAGTTTCTAGAAAAGGTTACCATTTTCTCAGTTTGTTAATTGTTTCTAGTTGATGAAATAATAAACAAAGAAAAATTGTGTTTAACTCTTGTTAAATTGTTGGTTTCTTGTTCATGGCTATACAAGAAGAGGTACTATATATTCTTGCGAAAGATGGGTTAATTTAATTAATCTGATAATAAAGAGTGATCAAGGATTAAGATTAGGGTTTTCGTTTGGAGGTCATGGAGTTCTTACCACTAAGGTTAAGGATTGTACAAGGGATGTGTGCCATTGCTTTTATTATTGCCTCTTTGTCACAAGGTTTGCAATTAATTTGTAATTATAAATTAACTTCAACATCTGAAATCTTAAAATTTCTCTTTATAATTATTTTTTGCTTTTGTTTGCTCACCATATTGCATTGCATCAACTAAAACAAAAATTACAAGTGTGGAACAGTTCTTCATATAAAAATATGTTGAAGCACGATCTTTCCGATCAAGAAAACATGTCTTCGTTTTTTTTTTCTTCGTAATTTTCAAGCTACATGCATTAGGCAACTCAAACATGAAGAAAGGACTAAATTAAGTGCTGTTGACGCAGCTGATGTGAATGCTGAGAGCAAGTTTCAGCCATTGCAAAATGCATCAAACCCTCAAGAACTAAAAGTGAAGAGGTCCGACTTCCCCATTGATTTCGTGTTCGGAGTGACTGCTGCTGCTGCACAAATGGAAGGATCTGCAAAGGAAGCAGGAAGAGGACCAAGTGTCTGGGACTACTACATTGAGAAATTCCCAGGTTTATATATATATCAGCTGCTAAGACATTATAATGCATAAAGTTCTTTTCTTAGTATCATATGCTCGTTCTGTTTTGTTTATGATTTTTTTGTTTACATTCAGGACGGATTGCAGACCACACGAACATGTTTACCGCCATCGATTCATACAAGCGATACAAGGTGCATATTGAGCTAGCGATACCTTCGTCTTTTGGCATAAATATTTAACCAAATATTCATAATTGTAGGAAGAAGTGAAGAATCTCAAGGACCTTGGAGTTGATTCTCACAGATTTTCCATCTCTTGGACCAGGATTCTTCCTAGTAATCAATTTTACCGAGTTCTTTTTTTTTTTCTCCGCTAATAAGTGGTTCTGCTAATCTGTAAATTAAAATTGAGGGTTTTATGATTAATCTCTACTAAACTCTTCCTCTATATATGTTTGAAATTCTTAATGTGTAGCGGGAACCTTGAGTGGTGGAGTAAACCAAGAGGGTATCGATCACTACAACAACTTCATCAATGAACTAATCAAGAATGGTAAGAATCCCTGTTCAAGCAAATCCTTTATATTATGACATTAATTTATCTTCTTATATATTATACATAAGATCCTTTTATATCAATATCGTCGAATGAAATAAACTCCACTTCAGTTGGTTCGGACCTCCACTTGGTTTCACCCAAGCTTTTTTGAATCTGTATATCCAGAATGATCCCATAGAGTTCTGTAGTCTCATGAAGTTCCACATTAACATCATATGACGGGGTTAACTATCACACCAAAGTGGTTCTAATATTTCACTTTTATGTAGACATCACACCATTTGTGACCATATTGCACTTTGATCCACCACAAGCTTTGACAGACAAGTATGGCGGCATCCTCAATCGCTCCTTCGTGTAAGAACCTTCTAAATTACATCCATTTCATTTCTCGTAGTTTAGGATAATATAAAATTTAGTCATTGACATAAATAGATATTTTCTTTGTCACGTTTTGCAGGAAAGATTTCAAGGATTACAGTGAACTTTGTTTTAAACTTTTTGGAGATAGGGTGAAAAATTGGTTTACAATCAACGAGCCGTGGATCATGGCGAAAATGGGGTACGACAAAGGCGTTGGTCCGCCGGGCAGGTGTTCTGTTCAAACTGTATTTCCATGTACAAATGGTGGTAATTCAGCCACGGAACCTTACATTGTGGCACACCACCTTCTCCTTGCCCATTCTTCAGTCGTTGAGCTATACCGGAAGAAATTTCAGGCGAAATGCTCACACTGAATCTGTTGAAATGAATGAAGCCTTGTCTTTTGAGTATCTCAAATTAATGAGATAAATGTTCTTTCTTGGTTGATATTGGTTTTTAGGATAAACAAGGCGGACAAATTGGAATTAGTCTTGTAGGACAATATGTCATGCCTTATTCGAATTCGGCAGAAGACAAAGCTGCAGCAGAAAGAATATTAGACTTTGAACTTGGATGGTTAGTAGATATATCTACATTGGTCCTAAATATACTTGCTCGATTGGTATAAGAAGTCTTCTAGTTGTAAATTTTCCTAAAAACAATATGATGTTCTTGTTTAGGTTCATGGAACCATTAGTATATGGATCATATCCAGAGAGTATGAGACGTTTGGTCAAGGACAGGCTACCACATTTCACCAAGGAGGAGGAGAAGATGATCAATGGATCCTTAGGTTTTGTCGGCATCAACTATTACTCCACAAGATATGGTAGAAACGTCCCAGCAAAACCACAAGGACCAATCTCTTATAGCGACGATCTTTTAGCTTTGGCGTTGATCAAAAGTAAATTTGATAATATCTCAATGTTACTTCTTTTGTGTGTGCACGCGCGCGTTATTGTGCCAATGAAGGTTAAATTGATTGGAATTTTTAAGTCTTACACGGTTTTTTCATGTTGTGATTGTTGTAGATGAAAACGGAACCCAAATTGGTCCTCAGGTATACAAAAGAGCATTGACCCATGCGCAAGGATGATTCGCATATATAATTTTGTACCATGTAGTTTCCATCTTTCTATATATAGCAAAACTAAGTTCTTTCAACCGTGTAGGCTGGAGGAAGTCGGTTCGTCTACAGTTACCCACAAGGCCTGGAACAACTTCTAAAGTTTATGAAGAAGAAGTACCAGGACCCTAAAATCTACATTTCTGAACATGGAATAACTGAGGCAAAGGACGATAAACTAAGACTTAGTGACGCACTTAAGGATCCACATAGAATTGAATCCATTCTTCGCCATTTGTACCGGATCAAGAATGCAATGAAGTAAGTCACTGCAATCTATGTTTACAAGTTTGAGGATGTAGTATCCATTTACTTATGTTGTTTTTGTTTCTCCAGGAGTGGTGTGAATGTCAAAGGATATTTCCACTACACGTTATCTGATAATTTTGAATGGGGAGAAGGCCATATCCCAAGATTTGGGCTTTACTATGTCGACTACAAAGACAATCTCAAGCGCATTCCTAAGGGGTCTGCTAAGTGGCTCCCTAAGTTCCTAAAGGGCGAGGCTTGACGTAGTCAAGTTTCGTTATAAAAGCTCATCTACTTTCTTGCACACAAATGCAGAAAACTGTAAAGAAAGAGTGGTAAAATATGTGCTATATATGCCTTGAATGTTCTGTTTTATAGGCTAGGTATTTCTGTGGGAATGCCCTGTACTTTTAATACTGGCATAGGTTTGCAATATAGTTGTTATATTGCAAGCAAAACAATCTTACATCAACTTCTTTGATGGTCCAATATCCTAGTGGATAGGGTGTTGGTTTTTCATCCATGCGTCTCGAGTTCGAAACTCCCTAATCCCCTAAATTATTGTAATAGTTTAGAACTTTCCCTTCTCCTTAATAATAACATTTTAAGAAAGAAAAAAAAAGAGAGAAGAGTTTAAGGGTTTCTTACACTCAATGAAACAAGTGAAGCAATTGTATCTCCCATTGCAAGGAGGCAGGAGTTTCCTATATTATCCTATTTTTCCTTATTTCTGCTATAAATAATTGGCCCCATGGGAAGGGGATTAGTCTGTCGTTAATGTGTGGTGGGATACCTTCTATACTCACGCATTACTTTCTAATAACAAAACGAAGCGAAAAAAACAGGGAAGGAGGAGTGCAAAACACCCAAACCCATTTTATAGAAATTTGTAAGCAATGTCCATCTGCTAGAAACCTTTCATTATTTTTGGGATCCCAGACCCATAATAACAGATTATGGGTTTGGTCTTAATCATGTCATTAATTTGTATGTTCTAGATTCAAGAACATCAACATAACAACAGATTAAGCATGATGTTAAGCATGTGGTTTGGGTCTTAATCAAGTCATTAATTTGGACTTAATCCCCTGTCTACTAATGATTCAGAGGGCATCGATCGTGTAAATTACAAGTACGGATTAATGACTAGATTTTGATGAATTGATGATGAACGGTAAGAATCCATCATAAACATTACATTTTCTGGGATATTATGGTTTACAAGCTAGAGTGTTAACTCCTCTTTTATACAATCAAATCCTTATATCGATGATGTTGATCTTATTGTGTGTAATTAGATAGTTTTTTTTTTTTTTAATTTTTTTTTAATTTTTAATATTCATATCAAGAATATTTTAAGTTTTTCTGCAATTTCAAATGCATTATATCGGTCACAACATGGGCGGAGCCACTAAGGAACCAGAATGGTCCCTAGCTCATCATGCCTTTTTTTCTTTCTTTCTTGGTACTCTAACAGATGTTGCTGCTGCATATCAGTCTAAGAGAATCTCCAAAAGAGATGTCAAACTGTCTAAATCAGCATTAATAGTAACAAAAGACAACATTAATGTATTTTCATTTTATGTTTAAAATTTGGCATATCGGTTGAAGAGTAAAACTTTAAAAGATGTCAAAGTAACACGTAAGCCTTCAAATTTAAATTTTACATTTAGAATTTGACATCTCCTTTGGAGATTGTCTAATACTCTTAAAATTCAATTGTATTATTAATCCAAACTCTTTTCCGTTCCATTGTATTCTTAATCCAAACTATTTTCTATTCCAGCGTCATTTTTCTCTCAACAGTACCGAGAGCTTTTCGTTAAAGTCCCTTATTGGAGTCCAGTCTTCACTTGCCCTCATTATTGTATCAACTTTTCTTTAGCTTTAACATATATTTTAAATTTTTATTGCTTACTTAACCTCATATTTGAGTTTTTAGGTTTGTACAATATTTTTAGTTATCTCCATTGAATTTAGCGTCTTTCAATTTTAATGCAAAGTACTCTAATTTTTCATGTTTTAAGTTAAAATTACCTATGTTTTGAGAGACTGCCCACTTATAAAATCCTAAGATTGCAAAATGAGTGCTTGTACTGCCAGTGGCCAATTGAACTTTGTCACATACTTCTTTGTCCCAACACCGGCCAACAAGAATTATACCAAGCACTTATAAAATCCTAACATCTCATTACTTGTTCACTGTTCGCCGAGTTAGGTCGCGCTAGCTTGCAACTCAAGTGGGGGCACCAAGATGGTGGGACATCGGTTCAACTCATTTGGCAGGGCTTTGCTGTTGCAATTTGCAGGCTCGCCCGTTCCAAGTTGTGAGTTGGGTCATGTGGTTCGGGCAATGCGTGAGGCTGGTTTAACAGAGCTGCGAAAACCTCTCGCTCTCAACAACGGAAGGATTACGGGTTGGTGCACCGCTAGCCCAGATTGTCTCATGGGTTGAGACCTTGTTGTGAACCACCACCTTTTTTTAAATTTATATACAAATGTTTTAAATGGAAGATGTAGACGAGGTGTCTTATGGTTGAGACTGAAAATTTCTTCTTCACGGTCATCTTCTTCGTGAATACCGTGCTGCCCTTCAACCTCAACCACGTCTAGATGAGTGGGCAGAGGCGTTATCACTCTCATCCCGCCTCAAAAACCGCTTAGGCGTGCCTCGGGGCACATGTTTTTTTAAACCCTGTTTATAATTTAAGATAATATTAGTAAATAAAACATGTGCTATAACAAGGAAGGATTAGAACAAATTGACGATCACACTAACAAATTTCTCATAATCTTTGACCATATTGCACTTTGAATTCTGTATGATGATTATCATAATTTGTTACAATTACAAATTCTAGTGAAAAAATGCCCAAATTCTGTCACATTTCCTTGTTTATTTAGCTTCAAAAGCAAAATTCTGACTCAATGAATGTGATGCAGTGTCAAATCTTTTGGTCTCCATCTGCTGTTTCTTCCTGGACTTGAACTGCATACTGTAAGTTCCAAAGGATGTCCTCGAAAGATGGACGGCTCGACTCTGGACAAATGCATTTGTACATTACGGAGAGCACGATCGATAGAGACTCTTGTGAGCAACTGGCTAGAATAGCCGGTTCAACTATCTGCTTCCGCCCGTCCTCACTACTCAGAGATGCCTGCATCGATCAAATAAAAGCGCGCTTTTACGCTCACCAAAATTTTGACAACAATAGGACATGATGAATTTTGCGCATTTTTCGTGTCAAGTGAAAATATTAGGCAGAAATTTGTGAACTACCATATTATTTTGCAGGATTGCTTCTCTTGTAGAAGATATGGAAGATCCAACGAGAGCCTCGAGTAGTATGTATCCAAAGCTATAAGCATCATCGTCTAAACTTGTCATTTGCCTGATCAAGACATGGTTAAATGTCAATGATTAAGAACTCTAATAGAAACATGCAGAGAGTAGACAGTAAAAATATGATGTAGAATTAACCATGATGTAAGGCTGTCTTTTGCCTGCAACCAAGACAAGAACATAGTCAGAACCGCTCGGGAAGAAAAAATTATTGTAGGGGTAAGTGATCATTCAGTCAGTATGAGGAGCTCAGGAGACATACTGTGGATTTATCGGTCTCTTCTGTGAGAATGGACAGTCCATAGTCACTCAATTTTGCCATACCGTGCTCATTGAGCAAGATATTGTTCGTCTTCAGGCGGTTGCAGAAGAAACCAGGAATGATTCCCGTATGTAGGAAGCGCACGGCCTTGGCCACGCTAACTAGAACTGCCAATCTCTCTGACCAGTTGAGAACCTTTCCAGGACAATTCGCTACACATACATAACGTTATTGCTAGGTCAGACGAAAAGATTTTGTGTTTTTCCGCCAAAAATGCATTGTGTTTAGTTTTTGAAGATTTACCAGAGAGATGATCACGGAATGTCCCACTGGGCACATATTCAGACACAAAATAGACCTTGTTCGGACTGTAATCATCTTGTCCACCACCATCGAGACAGTGCCCTAAAAGGCATACCAAATGCTGGTGCCGAAGCTTGGAAAGCAGTTCCAACCGGAGTTTAACATTTCGAATTGTGTACTTCTTCAACAAGGGCAGGCACCTTATGGCAACTTCAGTCCCATTGTATAGTCTTCCTTTGTATAGCTACATATCGAAGGAAAAAAAACTAAGAGCTTAAAAAAGCATATGTTGTTATAAAAGTAAAAAGTTTCAATTTATAACGTTCTGAATTGAAACTATACCCTCCCATATGAACCTTCACCCAATAAGGCAGAGCTGTCGAAGTTTTTCGTAGCTTCCATCAGCTCTTCCATAGAAAATATCCGGCACGCAGGGAGGCCTTGTGTCCCTACCTTTCCAGCTTGTGAAATAAACCCTAAATAATTGAAAGAACCAACTTGATAAGCTTAAATATTCATCCAATGAAACACAAAAAAAAAAAATGTACATTTTTGTTAGTGATTGACCTACTTGCACTTGTTAGAAGCTTGGTCGAAAACCCAACTGCTGAATTCTCTTGCACTGATTTCTGCAGCAAATGCCGCTTTGATATCCCCTGAGGGCAATATCTTCTGCAGAAAATGATAAACCCTAAAACCAAAAGCACAGTAAGTACAATTAATCCTAGAATCACACCCACCAAGATCCCTACATTGTTCCCTCTGAACTCTTTCTTCTTCAGGCTGATCACTTCCTTGCAGTGTGATTGTTCATGCTGCTGATGCTGCACACCAATGGACAAACAATTCCCACCAAACTTCACAACTCTCTCTTTTGATTCATTTCTTAAACATGAAGGCAAATCACCCGTCAAACTATTATTCGATATATCAATGAAATCAAGTTTGCTTCCACAGATTAGATTCCCTGGAAGCGAGCCACTCAACAGATTTGACCCCAAGTTCAAGTAACTAATATTAGGCAAAGAGAAGAGTGCAGCAGGAGGTGTGCCTATAAGTGCATTGTGTGACATATCAATGTGTTGAAGTCCACTTAACTTGCCATATTTCACTGGAATCTTGCCGGAGAAGGAGTTTTCGCTGACAAAAAGCATGACCAACCCTTTTGGCATTGGAGGCAACATAGCGCTCAGTCTGTTCCCACTCAAATCTAGCACTTGTAAACTGCTTAACCTACTAAAATCCTGCAATGCACCTTCCAACTTGTTGTTCCTCAAGCTCAGAGTTGTAAGATTGGATAGCGAATTGAACCAATCAGGGATAGTATCATTTAAGAAATTCCCATCGATTTTAAGTGTTTGAAGCATCGCCATTGCGGAAATCCTTGGTGGGATTGAACCGAAGAGGAAGTTCGAGCTCAAATCGAGATACTCAAGGGAAGACAACCTATGAACTTTGTCTGGAAGTTGACCCCAGATGCCCAAAGACACAAGGCTAAGAACTCTCAAACTGTTTAGCCTTGAAAGGGTAGTGACAAAAGAATCCAAAGAAAAGGAATCTGATAAAGTTTGGCTTTGGATTGAAAAGCCATTGAAGTAATGACTTTTTTTGGATT